GACCCGACCTCGGATAAGCGGGAGAAAATGGATGGATGGATGGATGTATAACTGAGGCATCACCTGTGGTACTTGGGTTTATTTTCAGATTTCTGAAATTTAAAGCAGATTTATAACTTTAATATTTAGTCTTCAGAAGAGCCAAGCACTGGCGTCCTGTGGGCCTTTGTTATTAAAATCCAGTTGCTCCACACACTTCTGTTATTATAATCCACTTACCCGCTGATCTTATTATACTCCAGCACCACGATGGGTAATAGGCTATGGGACAGCAATGTCATTACAAAGCCAGAGAATTAAAGAGTAATGTGTGGGTGCATGTGTGCATGTGTGAGACAGACTCATTTTCTCTCTTTAAATTAAGGTGGACAGGATTTTTACGACAAAGAACTATCAAGACTCCACGAGATTCAAGGTAGGGGACGTTAATCAAAGACGAAGACATCTTCTCCACTGCACTTTATCATGGGATTAATAACTCTTCAGGAGACTTGTGGCCCCAAGTCCCCTATATAATATTTTATTAAATTACCAATATGTTTTAAAATTAACAAAGCTTGGACACTGGCCAAACTATCCTAGGCAAAGGTACGTCTACAGCTTGATTTGGGTGGCCTAAGTGGTACATTGTTTGTCAATCTTCTTTTTTTAGTTTGCTTTGAGATTCTACCCATTCTTACTCTGGGGTCCTGGCACTCCAGGTTCTCCTCTCGCTGTCATGTTGGTCTTTTCGTTCTTCCTGCAGACTGACCTCATGGCGATCCTTCCCTTTGAGCTGCTCTATCTTCAGTTCGGCTTCATGTCCGTCTTCAGGGCCAATCGCATGCTGAGAGTAAGTTCCAGAATCTCAGGCAGGGTCCATGGTGCCCTGAGTAATTGTCATGTGGGACTATTGCTCAGAATGACCCCCTTTTCACTCTGTAGCTCAGATCATTCTTCGAGTTCAGCGACCTTTTGGAGAGCATGATGACGAAAACTTACATTTGGAGGTACGCAGATCAGCAGAGTCCAGTGTGGCTGCACCTCCCACGTACAGACTCCACTAATGGCCAATGAGACAGTTCATATTCACTAACTGATCTTCTAAAAGATTTACATAGGGGTCTAGAATCATGATTGTATGGTTGTATCACTTACTATAGTGACATTCTGTTTCGCCTGGTATTCCGTACTTAGACGGAAGAGTTAGATGTTGGGAATGTCGTGTGTTGGGGCAGAGTGATCCGGACCATTGGCTACCTGCTCTTCATCCTGCATCTGGACGCTTGCCTGTACTACACAGCATCAGAGTACGAGGGCGTGGGCTCCACCCAGTGGGTCTACAATGGCGAGGGCAGCGCGTAAGTAACACACCCAACCCAACCCAACCCAACCAAGGAACATAATAATGCCCCAATAGCCATATGCTCCTGGCCGTGACAGTCGATGCCCATGTGGCGCCCTGGGCAAGCTTCACCTGCAGCGCTCCCTGTCTGAGACAAAGTGAAATCAGTTCACAAAGCCGACGCCCCCACTTAGAAGATACTGTGTCGCCTAATGGGCTGACTAGCATGGGCTCCAGGGTCTCATTTACCTATGCGCCCCCTCTATCCCAGCCTCTGCTCCGTCTCCCAGTGTGTGATGTCATAGTGAGCGATTCACACGGTAACACCAGAGTTCAGGGAAACACAAGCTGTAAAATACTTTTGCCTGATCCCTAGTGTGTATTTGCCTGTCATAGATGTTAATTAATTATGTGCTAATTATACACCCCCACTGGCAGGTATTTCATCAAGCTCTTCTGTGTCACTCTTTAGCTACCTGCAAAGCTTCCTCTATGCGGAGAAGTCCCTCCTCATGATCGCAGAGCTGCCCTTGCCTGACACTTTATTTGGGCTGATGTTTCAGATGATGAACTACTTCATAGGAGCTGCCTTCCTGTCTACGTTTCTGGCCCAGGTAGTCAGCACACTGCCCCTTGTGGTTTATGTGCGTTACTGTTTTATTTATGTTCAGATAATGGGGAAGGATGAAATCATGCAAACAGCGCAGGAAAGGGGACTTTAACTTTGAAGTGACCGATCACATTTACAAGCAGAGCTACAAAGAGACGCCATATTAGGTTTCATGCATGGGTCACAAAATCTACAAAGTACCTCATGCATTGTAGGGGGAGAAAATCATGTCAGAATATTGCCAAAAGGGGACACATTGCATCAGCAGAGAGGAAATTCCCCAACAGGGACAGATGAACATTTGACAGTATAGTAGCTAAACACCACAAAAGTTCAGCCTCACAAATGACCACAGAACTGAATCCCTCATCCTGGTGAAAATGGCATGATGTGAGATCCGCAAAGCTGGAATGTATGGCTGGGGTATTTGCAAACTGCTTGTTTGCAAATTCATTGCAGAAATACACAATGTAGTGTAAGGAGCACAAAAATTAGACGCAATGCCACGTAAAGGTTGGCTCTCCCCATAAAGCCAATGCCATGTGAAAGCTGGCTCTTTCCATTAATCTAATGCAGGAGTGGCCAATCTTATCCGTAAAGGGCTGGTGTGTATGCAGGTTTTTGGGATAACCTTTAGGTCAGCTGTTCAAACCCAGGTGTGAGGACTCTTCAGCCAATCAGTCCTCTAATTAGTAATCTAATTAGGGAGTTGCAGCTTAAAACCTGCATACACACCGGCCCTTTGTGGATAAGATTGGCCACCCCTGATCTAATGCCACATACAGGCTGTCACTCTCCACCATTACAATGCCGTGTAAAGGCTGTATCTCTCCACCACTGCAACATCACATGAAGGCTGTCTCTCTCCAATAATCCAATGCCGTGTAAAGTCTGCATCTCTCCACCAAATCAGTGCCATGTAAAGTCTGTCTATCTCCAATAATCCAATGCTGTGTAAAGACTGTCTCGCTCCACCAATCCATCTTTATCTTCATTCCACCAGATGAGGGTTGTCATCAGTGCTGCCACTGCCCACCAGACCTACTTCCGCAAATCCATGGACAATGCGGTGACCTACATGAACACCAACAAGATCCCCAAGCTGGTGCAGGACAGAGTGCGCACCTGGTACATGTACACCTGGGAGTCCCAGGGCATGCTGGGTAAGGTATTCCTTACATAGTAGTTTTCAATGACACATATGCATAAAAAACAAACATGAAATATTACAAACAAGAGCCCAGTAATCATGAGCAGGGATGGAAAAAGGATTGATGTTATTTTATCTAGTCATTTATTTATTATTTTATCAGATGATTTTATCAGATGCTACATGAAAGACTTTGCTGTGTTTACTGAGTATTTATTTATGTTCCATAGGTAACACATAAGTAAGTTTTATTGTATGATGTACAGAAGTCCTGATAGAATAAGCTAATTTATTGTAAACCCTCACCACCTTTGGATGGAGAAAAGCCAAAAACCAAGCACATTCCTTTCCTGGCCGGGGATCCCTTGGTCCACTCTAACAGAGAAGCAGTCATCAAGACTGGCCTATCCATGATGGTATTTAACAGGACCTAGTTTGTCGTAATTATGGTTCTGTATACCTACATCTGGAATTGGCTTCATAGTAGGACATTGGTGGTAACAGCTGTCCTTTTACAGGAGGTGGGATAGGTGTGCAGCAGAGTTAAAGCGGACCTCTCTCTCTCACGCCCCAGACGAGTCAGAGCTGCTGGAGCAGATGCCCCTGGTCATGAGGACGGCCATCGCTGTGGACATCAACCTCAGCACCTTCCAGAAGATCGATCTCTTCAAGGTGAGTGGTACTCATCCTTGTCAGAGCTCAGATTCAGAAACAACCCCCTGCTGGCTTACAAAAGTTATTTTTAAGTATTTTTTTTTTATTTCTGTGAGACTGCTGTTTGAATCAGCTCATTTGTAACCTCCTTTTTTTAAAAGTTAGACCAGAATCGTTGCAGAGACTGACGTTTATGCTTATCCCATTGCTTAATGTTTGCTGCCCCTTAGTGACTGCATCTTCCACTCACATTATGAAAGAGAAATCGCATTGCTCCACAAATTCATTTTTTTCTGTCTGCTTTCCATTTAATTGAAACACTTGCCTGAAAGTTTTCCAAAGGTACTTACAATAGTTTGTTTATTAATAATTGTGGAGAATTTTAAACATGACAGAGGCTCCAAACATGGGGTTAAAATTATGATGCAGACTAGTCTTTACAAGAAAATGGGATTTTTTTTTCTTTCGCGTCTTTCACCTAATGGGCTAATTATTGTAACACCTATGTGGCCGGACTCTCTTTAAAGGGCCATCTCCCATTGGTGCACCATGTGACTGGATGTTCCTTAAAGGGCCAGCTCCCAACAGTGCACTATTTGGCCAGACATTCCTTAAAGGGCCAGCTCCCAACAGTGCACCATGTAACTGGTCTCTCTTTAACGGCAAGCTGACCAATAGTGCACCATGTAACTGGTCTCTCTTTAATGGCCATCTCCCAATAGTGCACCATGTAACTGGTCTCTCTTTAATGGCCAGCTCCTAATAGTGCACCATGTAACTGGTCTCTCTTTAAGGCCAGCTCCTAATAGTGCACCATGTGGACTTTTCTGCTCACAGGGCTGTGAGGGGCAGATGCTGGTGGATATGCTGTTGCGGCTGAAGCCCGTAGTGTATCTCCCAGGAGACTTTGTGTGCAAGAAGGTGACCGTGAGACATCTGGGGTCAAATCAGTGTTCAAAGAATGGGACTTTCTGTTATGTATGGTGGGAAACAGCAAAGGGGTTCTGTTTAAATTGCTTAAAAACAAAAGAGACTGAACAGTAGGCTGTTACTTAAATTTTAATCCATTTATTCAGTTCTGCTATATATTCCACCCATTCATGATGCTGTATTTATTGTTTACTTACACATTGTGCTATGTGTATAAACCCGTATGTATGTATATTTACTCCAGGATCCAACTCCCCTGTTTCACACTGTCCTGTGTTTTTGCACTTTAAGTCCTGTGTAACCCGGTGTATGTGGCACCGTGTTCCTGGGGGAACGTTATTTCGTGCCACTGTGCACCTGAATATAAATGGTACGAGAGTAAAGCCCACTTGACTTGACCTTTAGTGGGATGAGCTTCATGATGTAGAGGCTACATGTTAAGTTGTGTCCTAGTAGTTTAGTGGACCCCACATCCTTTGAACCAGTCTGGTCCAAATAAGTACAGTGACGACCCCGTCCCCTGGCTCCGGCCACCACCCCCTCTCCTCAGGGGAACATCGGGAAGGAGATGTACATTATCAAGGCCGGGGCTGTGCAGGTGGTGGGGGGGGACAATGAGACGGTGCTCGTCACGCTCAAGGCTGGATGCGTCTTTGGGGAGATCAGGTATGGCCTGAAGAGGTGAGGGGCATGGTCAAGCCTTATGGCCTTGTCGACCCAGATAGGTGGCTCTGCTTTGAAAATACAACATTCAGACCCCTCTTATATTGATGTGCATGTCACAGAATAGCTATGGTAGGTCTGTGAAAGACCAGAGCTAGAAGCCTGGCCGAGATGTTCTGCTCTGATGGCTTGTCCTTCAGCCTGCTGCAGTCCGCACCCAATGGTGGAAACCGACGGACAGCCAACGTCATCGCCCATGGCTTTGCCAACCTCTTTGTGCTGGACAAGAAAGACCTCAACGACATACTGGTGCACTACCCAGAATCGCAGAAGGTCCTGGCCAGGAAGGGGAGGTGGGTGGTGGTTCACATTAATATACAAAGAGGTTGATATTCATTATGCTTTGCCTGCATCTAACACAATTGATTTATGGGTGGTCAGAGGGCAATCATTACATGGTGGATACAGGGGGCTGGTTTTTCTTAGAGATGTGTGTCTGAGGTGGGGTGGCACACCCCTTTAGCCGTATGGTATTCTCCTCCCCAGGAAGCTGCTGATGGCCAAGGATCTGGCAGGGAGGGGGCAGTTAAAGGGGCAGGTCACACCCATGGTCTGCCAAGTGGAGAGACTCCAGGTACTGCTGCAGAAGTCACCTGCGTCTCTGCAGAGGGTGCCCAAGACATTCAGATCGAGTCAGAACTAGTTTGGCTCCACAAAGAAGCCCAGCACATCAATGAAAGGGTTTCAGGGCTGAGGATTCATCCTGGAGGCCTCAGCAACAGGAAGCGGCCAGCGCTGACATAGACTGAATAAGGCTGCCTCTGTGGCCCTGAAATCGGGTCACATGGTCCAACCTGTCACTCTTATCTCTGTAATTCTAATTTAACTTTTGAACATTTAATTTAGTTTTCTGTCCCCCAATTTCTCATTAGTTAGTTCAGTTTATTTATGCATAGGTAAAACGAGAAAGTATGATTTGTTTTTATTTTTCCAGGTTGTAACCTCTAATGACGATGATGAGAACAGCGCCCTCTAGTGAACATCCCTCAGGTTTATACTTAACCTTGGCCCAGGACTGGAAAAGAAGTTATGGAAGATTGATTAATGCTTAATTTCCTTTGCTTTTTTCTTTTGAAACTTGCATCAATAATTCTGGCCCCTTTCATCTAGCCTACCCTTTACATTTCAAATGCTTGTTTTGTATTTAGGACTATTTTAAAGATAATGCTTTATTGGCCATTGCACAAGTACTATATAAGTACAGGTACATAGAAATTCATCTCTTCACCTACCCTATTCTGCTCTCTATAGCTCAGGCGTTACAGCACGGTGTCAATCATTGTGTGGTGCCCCTGGAGCTGGGGCTTAAGGGCCTTGATCAAGGGCCAACGGACATGTGACTGATCTGACAAGGCCAATGCTTGAACCGGCAACCTTCCGATCACAGAATCTTAGTCCCCTGAATCACTCACCACCCAAATGTGCATTCAAGAGCCTGCCAGTCAGTGGCCACAGTGTCAGGCGGGATGTTTACCTGTTGGGTGAAAAGCCTCTCACAGCTGGAGGAAGGTCGTTTGTGACACTGAAGTCTGCAGCACCGGGATGTCCTGTGTGTGCTGAGGAATAGAGCTTCTGAAAGCTCCAGAAAGAACCCGGGAATCCTGAGTGGAAAACTCTTTCCGGCACTTTGTTATGCTTTGATCCATGAGAAACTGCCCTGCACCTTCACGCTCGACTTGGCTCTTTATTTATTTGTGCATTTCAGCCGATTAAACGCTGAAAGCATTATTTCATTGTAACAGTGGCTCAGCATGCAGAAAAGCAAGAGTTTGCAGTATACTGGATAATAATGTAAAACCAACTGGCAGACTGACCATTTTCAGATTTATGATGTAATATGCATTGCTTTGAATGATTTAGTTTTAGTCATGCAGTTCTTCTGGAAGAAATTAGCAGGTGGGTCCATCTAAAGCAGGAGTGGGCAATTAATTTTCCCAGGGGGCTACACATGAAACTGGCAGTGTTGTGGGGGGCTGGACCAATAGGCTGAACTCAATTCTGCTCTACATTAATTTGTTCCCTTTATAAACTGTATGGTTTTGATTAGCTGCTACTGGTAAGAGTATGTGTTACAATAAAGCAATAAAACATGGAGCAAGTGCAGTAAAAGATATTATATCACTATTTAATGAACCTTCACAAAAACGATCTTGAAAATGTGCATGTTTTTGCAGTATTTCAAAGATCAGCATTAACCTCCTGAGACCCAAGGAAAAAAGTGTCCTTCAATTTTAGGTTATTTGTCTTTGGAGGAAATAAGACATCTTACAATTTAGATTTTTTCAAATTTATTTTTATTTTTAAATTCATAGCATGTCCTCTTTAGTGTACAACAGGAATAAATACGTTTCCTAACATCAGTGAAAAGATATAGCAAAAAATAAAATGTCCACTACAATGGACATAAATGAATGGGTGGAGTCTCAGGAGGATATGTTAACTTAGTTTTCCCTCTGTCCCCTTATTGTGTGCTATTGAATACATCTCAATTATGCGCTTTTATGTATTTTCTGCTCCTATTTTAACAGGATTAATTTCTGGACTTCGTTTTCTGTTCTGTAGGAAAGAGGACCAGGTGTGACTTTGTTCTGTTCCTTTATTCCACATGGAAGGCCTAATAGCTGTACTTTGGTCTGGAACTGTCCATGGCACAGACAGCTGTGCAAAACTTTTTTTATTTACATTTTTTTGGAACAAGTAAATCATTATACTAGCAACACAAAGGCCATGGGTTCAAATCCCCACACTTGAATTGTAACAGTTCTCTCGACTGTAAGTCGCTCATGGGAGTTTTACGTACCCAAAAATGTTCTGAGGGTGGAAGGAAAGATAATAAGATAATTGGTTCAGACATAACCAATCAGACTGCAGATGAAGCAAAACCTTTTTGGAAAGTATTACCTGATGATTGTCTGTGTAAACAAAATGACTCCATATTTAAGATAAGACCAGGAATTGAGTGGATGATGTAGATGCAGGAAACGCTGTTACTCCCCACCCTACCAGGAATGTCCTGGCGGAAAGGGCAGGGCTCCAAAGCGGGATTACTGGGACTAAAGGCTGCCGGTTGGCCTTGGGGGGAGGGGGGGTCAGCGACGTGAGGAGAGCAGCGGATAAAGTCCTGGATGACTTCCCATACTCGCAGTCGTCATCCTCGCATCAGCCATGTTCAGCAGGCTGTGGAAACTCTTGGCTCCCACCTTGCTGACTCCGATCCATGCTCCACCACCGGCTCCCACACCTGCACCAGCTCCTACTCCTCCACCTGCCCGGGTAGGACATGTTCTTCAGAAGATGCATTGGCTTGTAGAGTCCATCAGTAATACATACTGTGTGAATATTTGGTGAACATGCAGGTCATCCAGTGCCTTCCGTTGGCTTAGAGAAACACACATTGATGGGATCAGTGATCCAATTTCAGGACAGGTCTGAAATGGGGTATTTGGCTTAGAGTTGAGCAGATGAGTAGATCCTTACTGGCCAGTATTGCTGCAGAAATGTTGGGTGGTGTACAGTCCTTTCTTCATGAGTGAGAGCTACCCAGCTAGAGCCACCTACAACCTACAAGTGATGCCAAGGTGGGATTTACTGGCTGGCTGACTTTCCTGCTTCATGAACAGAAGCCTTCTGAAGGAATGGGTGGAAAGCAGAAAGATGGAGAAGAAGGACCAGCAGGTAATGGATCTGTCTGGGTCTGGAGGCCTGCAGGGGCAGCTTCAGGTGGTAGGAGATTTCAGGGGTGATTCACAGCTGGTGTTACCTTGCTCCAAGTCTGGAGCTCCCAATTTGTTATTGGAGACCTTTGGTACCCACACCGCCTGTGCTGCTTTGGTCTGTCCAGCCCCAGCCCCGGACCCCACCCCTGAGGCCCCAGCTCCTACCCCAGGCCCCCCCATGCTTGAGGAGAAGCCGGCTGAACCTGGGGAGGGGTAAGAGAGAAATACATGTGACTTGAGGGTTTTTTTGTATGTGTGTGGTGTGATGCATTTGGAAAAAAAGGAGCTGCAGATTGAGCTGTGGAATATCTAGGATGTCTATTTTCTATCTTCATCCTCTGATTTTTGGACCGTGACTCCAAGCATAGATGAAAGGAGATTATGGGATTGCCAGCACATCCAGCTTAAGGTGATCAGACATACAGCCCTATCGTAAGGAGCAGATGTACAGGCCTGTTAGGAACTGGCCCTCTGTCAGTTTCAGAGGTAAAGATTTCTCATACATTTGAGTTTGTAATTGGACTAACTCAGAGGCAGAGATTTCAGAGGTAGAGATACCTTTGAGTTTGGAACTCATGCATGTCATGTACTGGATGAGCGTTGATAGACCAATCAGAAGCTTGTTGCCAGGGCCAAAATATCCTCTGTCTTGTAGTTAAAAATTGCAATACAATTTGAAATTCTTGTAATATATATTGCAAAATATAGGCTGAAAACAGGCGGTGGCACCTACTTTAGATCACCTTCCAAGAACTGGAAAAAAGCATCTGAGATCTTGATGAGACAGACAGATTTGACCATGTTTTGTCCTTTTTTCCTACATGATTTTAGTTTAGTAAAGACGTAAGGAATAGCTCCCATTGGTCAAGTGTGTTTTACCTGGTTTTTACTCTTCATTCCTCATAACCTTTAAATGGTTGTAGGGGCAGAATTCCAATTCCAACATGTACAATGTGAGTTAGGGTGAGTATTTTTATCTTATTATTTTCATAGTGGGTTTTGTCGAGGGTCCTGCTGCTCTGAAGGAGTGTCCAGGGGGAGAAAGGCAGATTAGGACATCGTCCAAGACACCTGGATTACCCCCGCTGTCCTTCCGTGAGGCCTTTAGCCAGGACCTCAGTGGGGGGAGGGAGGGCAGCACTAAGCCAGGCCTCCAGGTGGGGTCCAGTGGGGTTCTTTCACTTTGAAATGGAATCGTATGTATCAGCGTGCTGTAATATAATGTACACATAGTCATGGAAGAAGAGTGCCCCCTGCTGACAGCCCAACTGTCAGCAGGGTACAGCATGCATAGGGACACCATGCATACCAAAGCCTTTGACTTTCATTACTAAGTGGATGTTTGAGTTATGCTTACTTCAGGGCTGATATATAATGTTTCAGGACAAACACAGACAGAAAACTCCAACACAGTCAGAATTGTGCAGCAGTGTGGAGACTATAGGATCTGCTTCAGGGATGTTGTATGGTTGTAGTACTGTTTGGTAAAATAACAATCAGCAGCACTTAAAGTATCACTTAACAGCCTGGACAAGAGCACCACCTAGGGCACTGAGGGTGTCATAGAAATAATGATTTATTTTTTGTTTTCAGTCAGGAGCCGCCATCTCCGTCTCCACCCCTTCTAGTGGTGAATAAATATATAGATGATCACCTGAGGAGCCTGATAAAGCAACTGAGGGATCGAACCACGAGCTACAAGGAGAAGGTCATCGACCCGTATGCCTCATCCCCGGAGCACAGCCCCCCCATCAGTAGGTGTGACTACTCTATTGTGGAATGGGCTTTATGGCCATGATGTGGAGGAACTGATTCTGTGGGGTGGATGGCAGTTTGGGGAGGCCTTGTTTTTACTGAATACATTTGAAATTTAGTGGTAAGCGTGACACCCTACACAGATGCAGAACAGGAAGTTGTCGGTCTCTGTCCTGTCTGGTGGGCTTAACTTGCAGTGGCTCAATGTTTACTATTAACAATCTAGCACCAGTCATGAGAAAGCGATACTTCCTGAAGAGAGAGGCAGAGGAGCGAACTCAGAAAGAGGAAGAGGGGAGGGAAAAAAAGGAGGAGCAGGCTAAGAAAGTGACACAGAAGAAGGGTGAGAAGGAGGAAGGGGAGAAAAAGGATGTTAAAAAGAAGAAAGATGACAAGAAAGAGGAAAAGAAAGATGACAAGAAAGAGGAGAAAAAGGATGGCGAAGTAGAGGTCAAAGCTGAAAGCTCCTGGTCCAAGGTCATATTGACCTGCCTCTTCTCCATGACCGACATGCTTTTCAAACCGCTGGAGGAGAAGCTGGACGTGTGGATGGATGAGACCATAGATCCCTTCACAGGTGGGAGGCAGACTGTCCTGCGGTTGCATGCGACATGTCAGAACCTTGTAATGCTGGACTACAGCATTACAGAATTCTATAAATGTGACAGCCACCAGATTTCGTAACCCTAACCCCTGGCACTGAGCATGATTTAACTTCCTCCTTGTGTTGATGGCTTCCTGTGAAATGAGTCCCTCCTCACAGATCACAGGTACATCTTCTGGCTGAGCTTGGTGACTCTGGTCTACAACTACAACATGTGGTTCATCCCCGTACGCCTGGCTTTCCCTTTCCACTCACCGAGGAGCATCCCCTTCTGGACCTTCTTTGATGTCCTAGCCGACATCATCTACCTCCTAGACATAATGGCGTTCCAGACCCGCCTCCAGTTCGTCAAAGGCGGGGACATCATCGTACGCCTGACCGGCCAGCACCAGATCCTCCATATTATTTTGTAGCCTCAGCAGTCATTGAGTGCAAACACAATAACACGAAATGCTGATCTAGATAAACCCCTCACGGGTCAATCACGACATACTATTGGATGCTTTAAGAGCTGTCCACTAGTATTAATTCTTTATTAAACATTAGGTGGCTTTAACAAGTTCTCTTTTTTCCTTGACAGAAAGACAGAAGTTTAACAAAGCTTAACTACAGAAAGTCTGCGAGACTGTGGGTAGGGAAAAATGTGTCTTTTCATGGATTTAGTTTAGTTTTTTTTACTTAATATCTTTAAGTTCTTTTGCTTTGAGTCACATTTAAATCAGGAGAGCTCCAGAACATTTCTTCCAAAAAGTAAAAATGCCAAAAGTCTCGTATTTTGTTTGGTTACTTATGGTTATGGTTAGGGCTTGGTAGGGGTTAAGGATCTCATGTTGGGATTAGAGTTATCCCCATAGAAATGAATGTAGAGTCCCCACAAATATATAATTTCAAACCTGTGTGTATACATTAGGGCTGTCAAAATTAACGGGTTAACGCGGATTAATCCATCATCATGATTAATCTGATTACATTTTTTAACGCAATTAATCCATCTGCCTCGCAGAATGACTCAAAATCCCTGAAATGTCTCTCTCAACCCATTTCGGGCAGTTTTGGTGCGTTCCATTTGCCCTGGGAACTCGTATTCCAAGTTGTATTCCGGAGTTTTGAAGCCGGAAGTGAGAACATGCGTGCTCCTGTTTTTCGGAGATCCGAGAAATATCTCGGAGCAGCACAGAGGATCCTGAGTTCAGAATCTGAGATGGCTGCGCCTCTTATCAACAGAAGGGAAAGTTATAGTTTTATACTGTTTAAGCACTGCTTCTCATTTGTGACTCATTAAATCAGTCGCACACACTATACCGTCCAACTTATCTGTGGCCGTGTTGCTACAGAGTTTTATATGTAAAGCACTGCGCGTAATGTGTTATCAACTGATATTGCTAACAATGGCAATTAACCAGGGTAGAATTGGATTTCATGATTAGTCGGATTATTTGTCGGATTTACGGTAGTTCGGGCTAATTTTAAGTGAACGAAGATAAAGACCACTTAAACTGAGGTATCTTAAATACGACAAGTTGTCCGGCTAAGCAAAAAATCTTGCTTTTTGATATGGGTCCATGGTATTGCACTTCTGTGGCAGATGGAATGCATCCAACTCGTGTTCATATATATACATGTATATATATATATATATATATATATATATATATATATATAT